CATATTTTATGTTGGTATTTAATTAAAATGTTTATCTAGAAAAGCCCAGTTGGATAAGGCAAAATGCCCTAGATTCTCCCAGTATGAAAGATTCTAAGTCATATACCTGCATAAAATTTTAGCCCTATTTTAGGCATTTGGACATCTGGCTCAACAGTTTCCTGTTTAATAATGATACTAAATTCTTTCTAGTTAAAGTTATCTTTGCATTCACAGTGAACTAAAATACCATCAGAAACTGATTTCCAAGAATTCTAACGACCTAGTCATAGCAAAAAATAGAGAAAAATTCTCAGTGTTTCCCATTAGCCCACCAAAGGAAATGACAGTTATTTTAACACATCAACGTCAATATTTAATATCATTATGGCCGGAGGAAATAATGTCCAACGTCACTGTCACTGTGTTCAGATGTACAGAGACTCAGCAATGGAATTTCGATCTTTTCTATTTTGGGTAGCATCTTCCAATTTGTTAGACAGGAGTCCCCATGCTATTTTCCATGGTTGAGAGCTCTGCGGGAGGATCGCCAAAAGGCGAGACTCCCTCTGGGGCCAAGGTTGCCCCCGTTAGTCCAGGTACCAAGGGCCGAATTTGCATCTCGTGGAGTGCTGACTGCCAGCTCCGGGTTCTTGTTCCACGCAAAGTGCGCCTCCTTGTGAGCCCACTACAGTGACCTCAGACCCTGCACATCCAATCCTCCCTCAGGTCATCCTCTGAAGTGGTGGGAAGAGAATTAATTAATCCCACGCCCTTCCCTGTGGCCCGCTTCTTCTTTCTAGGCACTCCCAAGAACGGCAGTCTCCTCGGAGCCGTCTGGTGTGCACCCTGCCCGCAGGGCGCGAGCAAGAACCCGGGGCGTCCAGTGCCCGGCGGCGACGCCCAGCAGACCCGGGGACTAGGCCGGGCGGGGCCGAGCCGCCGGTCCGAGCGCCGGAGGGGCTGGCGGAGCATGTGACCGCGCCGCGCCTGACTGGGCGCGCACTGCCGCGCGGTGGCGACGGCGGGGAGAGCAATGGAGGCCGCGGCCGCCTGAGAGGCGGGTGCACTGCTCCTAGTGCTGCTGCTGCGGCGGCGGCTTCCGTGGGCTGTGCAGACGCGTCCGTCACCGGCCCGGGACCGCCCGTTGCCGTCCAGCCGCCCCAGGCACTTCAGGTGAGCGCTTTCTCGGCCCGGGGTCAGGACCAGACAATGAGGACAGCGGGTGGGCTTCTCTCTCCACTCGCGACCCGCCGAGCCGGGCCCGCGCGGCACCCCGGGATTCCCGACCTTGCGCTGGGGGCGTGGGCTCGGCACGCCCGGCCGTGGACCTTAGGGGCGGTGTACCCGCGCGGGGCGCGTCCCGTGCGCAGCTTTGGATCCCAGGCAAGGGGATCTGCCCCCGGGCTGCGCCCGGGGAACTTGTTGAGAGCGTAGGACCTTGTAATTCCCTCTCTCCTTCCCGCGTCTCGGCATCCCGCCCCGGGCGTCCCCGGCGCGGCTCCCTGCTGCGGCGGGAGGCAGACGGAGACCTCGCCGTCTGGGATCTCGGACGCTGACCAGGCTCAACCCTGTCTTTCCCCAGAGCTGCA